CGGTTAGGCCCCACATTCGTGGCCTTCTCATCTGGGCACTGGTCCTGCCCGAAACGTAAACCAAAGCCCATGTTTCAGAGATGCTATTGGGAAACAGGAGCCCTTACACCTACCATGAGCAAACAAGGGAGTCGTGTGGAGCAGACCAAAAGGCAGTGGAATGCAGAAATAAAGCAATGATGCATCAACTCTCTGTCCTCTGACTCGGCTTGCTTGCAGTAGCAGGCCAGCCCTTCATAGGGGTCGTAATAAACCGAACGCTCCTTTACCGCCACTTGCGTGTCGAAGCGGCGAGCGCTGACCACAAGGCCAGTCCAAAAAAGCAGCATCGATGGGGAATGCAAGAAGTACATCTTAGTATTTGCGCAAACCACGTGAGGTGTGAAGCCAAATGCAAGCTCGCGCAGGCCGGAGAGCGACTCAGCTGGTCATCTTGCTCATTCTATCTCGTTTCCTCTCGTTTTTCAGTGCAAATAAAGCCGCGGTTACGGACCAAGTTTGTGAACCCCGCTGTCAGCAAGTCCAACCTGACAAGCGCAGAGTTGCAAAACTTATTTTATCGGCTGTGAAATTAAAGATGCGCATGAACATGAAAGGCTAGACTTGTAAAAGTGAATGCAATGCCGTACAAGATTTCGCCAAAACCAATCTGCTGACAAATCCAGCAACAGTCAAACGCTGACGTGTTTCCCAAGCTAGCCGGGCCACAACTAGTGAACAGTGACCGGACGTGAGGCTGTTGCCTGCCACTAGGGAAGGATTGATGCAACTGGCATGAGCCTAAGCGCAATATCCAGGAAATGGCAGAACGCTAGGTGGTACTCACTTGCATGAATTGGCAAGTCAAATGTCCACAAATATGATGATGCGTCAGAACTAACCGCTAGTAAATTATGTGTGGGATCCGGCCAGGTCTTCCAGGCTAAGCGCGCCGCGTTCCCAGAGCCGAGACTGAAGAAGCCAGCCTCGCGTCCGTGCCACAGTCCAAAGATTTGAAACCTTGAGTTCTTTTCATATGTAGGCTCAGCAAGTTCCAGAAAGTCAGCGCACTTCGAGTTGGTTCTTTGGTACACTTACACCTCACACACTTTAGTCACATCATTGCTTGGACGACATGTTACGTGCCAACGGGGAGGAGTGGATACGACGGGGTCATAGCAAGGTCACATCAATTCCATTGGTTTGAGCTGCGGAGGTTGTTGCGTTGCGCAGGGCCACAAGCAAAATAGCAAGAGAGAAACTGTTGTATTGCGTCTAACAGAGGATGTGGGAAAGCTCAAGCTCCATAGAAACTTGATATTCGGCTGTTGGAAGCCTCTCACGCAAGGACTTGCAGGAAAAACGGCCGGGATTGCAGAGCTTGCATGCTTATATTGGTTGCTGCTTTCATCTAGCAAAGAACTGATTGACAAGAAGCGGTACCGGAGTACCCGAAAGAACCGGTTAACTGCAAATCACAATGAAAGAACCGGAGTACCTCCCACCGAACTCGATTTCACTACGATTCAAGTGGTTGGGCCTCGCACCTCATGGCGCCATTGCAGGGTGCCCAGGAGCACTCCCCAAACACTCACAGCACCCCCTACCTAAAAACACAAAAACACACTGCCCCCGTCCACTAAGATTCATATCCCAACATCTCCAATGCCGCAAAAACCCGAAAGAAAGAAATCCTCAGGATCTCCCAACCTGGTGGCACCATGGAAGCAGCAGGATTGCCTCGGGCGGAAGTGATTGCAGAGGGACCTTCTGGAACGTCGAGACTGTTTATTCCAACCCTCGCAAGTTTTCGCCTTTGGAAACTAAAATACCCTTTCCAACCAAAACATATTTCACCTACATGAACCAAAAGGTTTCCAAGGACATGCCCCCTAACATGCACAAAACACAATCTTCCTTCAGATTGGGCACCACAAGGCGAGAAAAGCAGTCAGCCGGAAAGGACGACTTTTTGAGCACTGCGTACAGCCCCGCTATCAAGTCCCTGTTTGCTCGCAATACCCCGCTGCATCATAAACAAAAACAACATTCAAGCTTCGGAACTTCCGCGGGCCCTCCATTCCTTTGGCGGATGTGCGTGCGGGAGATTTGTTTGACAGGAACTGCTTCACTATTTTTGCATTCCTTGCTGCGCCACTTGCGGAAAGATTGCAAAACAGAAGCCGCGGAAGGGTGGAGCAGAGGAAAGCATGCATCGCGGAAGCGGAAGGAGCCTTTTCGGTCCACGAATTTCCTTCAAAACCTTACGCACGCGGTGCACGTTTAGAACAATGTCCCTATCCCGACGACTTTCAAATTGCGGGGCGAAAGCCGAAGCTCACCTCGTTTTGGACCCCAAGGCAAAGGAAACACTCCGCGTGTGGACAGCCCCAACTGGTTGCCTGCGGAAAACAAATCTCCTGTCCCTCCATCTGAATATTCTCTCCCCCCCCCGGAAAATGTTGAAAGATGTTGAAAGGCAAGGCAAGTCAATATATTGCACGATTACTTTGAGAAAAGTGACCTTCTTCGTTGACCTGATCTTTCACAATGCTTGTGGACCTTAGAAACTGAAGCAGTGAATCGATGTTGCCTCTGGGGGCAACAAGCGCGCGTGATGCAACGGGACAGCAGCTTGAAGAATATATTGGCCATGGTGCACGTAGATTTCCAGCAAATGCGGATGCCGGCTCCACTAACTGAGCCTGCTTGGTCGTCAGCGAAGCACCCTCTGAGACCAAGCTTCAAGACACTCTGCTTTCGGTTGTGAGAGCTATCTCAGCAAGCACTGAGGACATCTGGCACTCCTTGACATACGGCAATCAAGCCGTTTTGTCAGCCAATGTGTTGCATGATCATTCCGAAAATCGCGTGCAAACTAACATCTTCTACAACGGAGCTCAATTCAAAAAAAAGAACTGAACAAAAATGTGTTGTTTGCACTAATTCATCAGAATGGGTCAATATTGAGTTTCATGTAGTGTTCAATGGGTGTGCAAAGCATGGTTCGCATTGTCAACAATGCGCGCATCAAGTACCTCTTGAGCAGGATGCAAAGCTCAAACACAAAGTTGATTATAGACGCAACGATGGATGTGAATATTGCATATCCTCCATTAGCAAAGCTCGGGTATTTTGCTACCGGTGTCGTTGCCGATGTCTTTATTGAATCATTTGACTTGGCCGTGCTACGACAAGACGTAACATGGTGGCTCAAAGCTTCAACCACAAGCTGGCCAAATTGTATGCATGCCATAAACATTCAAGCTGTATGCTTGCCAAAGGGAAGACAGTGGGTGTACTATTGCTTTCACCCTTCTGACAATGATGTACATGTACCACGAACAAAAACTCCTTCTGCGAATCATGGTCTTGATGTTCTGAATGGAACCCTTATGGAGGTTGTCTAAAATCCATACTCAAGGGTTTATGGTCATTTCCGATGAACACGAATTCACCTGGAAACCATACCATCGCACAAATACGCCTTTTTGCAGCCGCCAAGACCAGCCCCCTTTCGGACTTTGCCGAGGCTCACCGTGCGTACGGGAAACTTTGCCCCACTATGCTAAGAAGCTAGATGGCCTGCCGAATACCGTGGGTTGAATGGTTTGTCAAGCAATAGCCGTGTGCGAAGCAGCTAAGATTGTTAGTTTCAGCCAAAGTGTCGGAAACAATAACCTAGTCGATGTGTGTGCGTGAACACAACAAAGCCCGATGCTCATGTGTAGCTTCCCGGTACTTGGTGACTTGGATTGGTGGTTTGGCGGTGGTATCTTCTCATTTACCCTCAACAAGAACCTGGGGTTCAATTCCCCAAACCACAAATCAAATCCGGACCACCAATTAAGGGTAACCAGACACAACTGGGAATCCAGGTGCCTAACCCAAACAACAATTCAGTGCCACTCACAAAGAGTTTGCCTACTTTAATCGACCTTTGAAGACATAGCAACTTTTTGGGAACATCCTTGACATTTGGGAAACAGATACACGTGATCAAAGACATTTGCAAAGTTGCTGGGAACATTGGCGTAATGAGTTGAACATAATTAACTGGCTCTCACCACACAATCGCTCATGTTTTAGCAACCGAAGGCAACTTGTGGAGTCTTTCCTGATGATCTATGTGACCATCATATAGTTTGAGTGAACATGTTTGCCTGGGGACTGGGCATTTGAGCAGTGTTCGCGTGTTCACTAAACTCACGCAATGTCAGTAATAGATATTATTTGTTGCTGGGATGGGGTCAAAACACCGCTGTCTGGTTGTGATTAGTGAACATAGCTGGGACTTTCTTGATTACTTATTTTCGCAGCACGCCACTCACTTTGATTCCTGTCATTTGTTTTGTTGCTATACAGGCCAGTATGTTCTCATTCTGTATCAAGCTGATTCTGAATTGAGTCACAAGTCTGAGCACGTTGACACAGAGCCAACAGTAGTTCTAGCATTTAGGATCGCCAAGCCTGGAAAACAGTGGCACACAAAGGTTATATTTATTGTGTGTGCGCTCTATGAGTCGTGAATTTGATCACATTGACCTTTCTCACGACACCGCACATTTGCTTACTAGACGTCACTAGGCTGACCTGTCGTTCTTTGTACTCTCCACACATCCGCCGCGAGGAAACATCGAACAAGCTTGGTTTTGCACACATCTGTCAAAGGCCAGTCCGACCAGTTCTATAATTCCGGACGGTAGAGAAACACAAACACACACACATAGTGACAATTCAGCGCCAAGGCAGCAAACATGTTACATTGGTGGACACCCTGAGGTCACACCAACCTACATCCTAAAGCCAAAAATGTCATGCACAGCATAAAGAAGAACCCTAGCTCCTTGCGAAACTTGGCGGGCTACGATTCGGCAAAGCCTGCCAGGTTGGCGTACGACACGATCCCTCCGCGCGAAAGTACGCAAGCAAATCCACGGAAGTTCTTGAAAGATCTCCTTTGACATCTAGAGCTTGCTCATGTGCATGGCTATCTTCCCAAGTGGGCAATTTCATAGCATGGGCCAGATGCAAAGGACACTGCTGACGTGAGGCGCGCGAAGCGTCTGTCTTTACCTGGACTGCAGCAACTGATGCGCCCGCTGCAGGGTGCTCTCAGCTTCTGCGTGGACGTCCAAGCTGTAGCCTGGCACGGGGGCCCTTTTTTGTTTTTTTAGCTGCACGGAGGAAATTGGAAGGCATGAGCACAGCATCTCCGGTGCTTTGAACCACAGAATCTGCATCTAGCACCCCCGCTACAACAAATCGGCCAATGAGAATTGGGCTCATGGCTCCAGATACTCGTTTGGGATGCGACTAGTTCAAGCCTGCGCGTACCTCATCGACATCTGCAAATGTTCAGGGAAGGCAAACACGTCATAGGGCGCAATAAATATAGGAAACAGACACATCGAATTCAAGCAGAATATGCATCATGGCTGAGCGGGAAAGCGGCGCGCACGGCAAGGGTAGCATCCACAGCTACAAAAACCATGTATCCACTATACGCACGCTACTCTTGTACGTTTGCAAAGTGCTTTGGGCTCCCTTTTTTCTCACCCTCCGAACTTGTTTTTTTAACCCTTCCTTTTTTTTCAACCCTCAAACACTGCTTGGGAACCGTCGGCGGGAACCTTGTTTCTCCAACCCTGAGAAATCCTTTCTTTTCAACCCCTCACCTTGTTTTTCTCTCCGTCTGCCTTGTTTTTGTTCACCCTCCGCCTTGTTTTGTTTCACCCGCAAGCTTGCTTGTTTCACCCCGCAACCTTGTTTTTCTCAGCCTAAACCTAAAACAACCTAGGCCTCCCCGCACCCAACCCAAACCAACCCAAACCAACCCTAGGCCCGCCCTAAGCCAAACCTTGCCAATCCTCAGTATCTCTAAAGTATCTCTAAATTAATCTCAAACCAGCCAAACACCACCCCAAACCCACCCTACACTAAATCACGCTAAACGAGCCCTAAGCAAACCAGAAACATCTTTTGTCCAACCCTAAACCCGCCCCAAGCCAAGCTACACCCACCCTACACCACCACCGACCTACTCGAAACCACCCTAATTAAAGCATACATAACCCACCCCTAACCAATCCCAAACCGACCCTAAACCAACCCTAAATCAACACCTTAAGCTTAGCCTAAGCCAACAATAAACTCACCCTAAACCCGCCTAAACCCCAATCCCACCCTAATCTAGCCTTAGTGCAACCCTAAGCCCAACCTAAACCAATCCTGAACAGACCCACCGACCCAAAACCAACCCTCAACCCTAAAACGACCCTAAGCCAATCCTAACCCAACCCTAAACCCACTCTAAACCCAGCTTTAACAAATCCCGAACCACCCGAAAACCAACCTCAAACTCAAGCCCTGCAAAAACCAACCCTAAACCAACCTTGCCCACACCCTAAACTCACCCAAAAACAACCCAAAACCCCACCCAAACAAACGCTAAACCCGCACTAAACTCAAAACCAACCTAGGCCAGCCCGACACCAACCCTAACCAACCCTGAGCCACCGCACCCTGAGACTGTAAGCTGAGCTTGACCCAACCCTAAATCCAGTGAAGCCAACTCTAGGCCAGCCGCAAAACCAATCCACATCCAAGCCTAAACCAACCCCACCCTAAACCATCCCAGACCAACCCTGAACCAACCTACATCCAACCCAAAACAAACGAACAACATACCCTTAAAAACCCTAAGCCCACGTGAAATTGAGCCACCCCAAATCAACCCTAAAGCCACCCTTGAGCGACCCCAAGCCTCCCCTAGCGCAACCCCAACGCCACCCTTGACATAGACAAACCGCAAACCCGCCCTGAACCCACCCTACACCAACCCTACAGCCACCACAGACCTACTCCAGACCACCTAAACCAAACACAACCCACCGAAATCCTGCTCTAAATCAACCTAATCCAACTCGACCCGACCCAAAACCCGCCTCAAACAGATTAAGGCAACACTAAATCCACCCTAAATCCACCCTAAACCCACCCTAAATCCACCCTAAATCCACCCTAAATCCACCCTAAATCCACCTTGAAGCCTTTCGACACACGCCCTAACCCCACCCTAAACTAACACCATGTAAATCCAACATTAATCCCAAGCCTGACCTCACCCTAAACCCATTCTAAACCCACACAATCCTAAACCAACCCTAAACCAATCATAAACCCACTGTAGACCCATTCTCCAAGCCAAAAACCCACCGTCATCCAACTTTAACCAGCACAGACCTGCTCGAAACCAACCTTAAACTTAAACCAACCACAAACTTGCCCTTCCCCTCCCAAACCAACCCTAAACCACCCTCAACAAACCCTACCCCGCCTCTAAACCCTTCCTACACAAACCCTAATCCCACCCCAAACTAGCCTTAAGTGCGAGGTTGCCCAACCTAAACCCTAGACCAACCCTAAATCCAAAACCACTCCTAAACCAACCCAACCCTAAACCGTTGCTTAGTGCAGGTGCCGCAGGCTTCGGCCACAGGGTTTGCAAAAAAGAAATGGAGGGTTAAAAGGAAGAGGTGGAGGGTCAGAAAGAAAGGGGGGAGGGTTAAAAAAGAAGGGGGGAGGGTGAACAAAAACGGGGGGAGGGTCAAATAGAAAGGGTGAAGGGTTGAAAAACAGGGAAGGGTTGAAAAAAAAAGTTTGGAGGGTGAGAAAAAAGGGTTCCCCAAGTGCTTTCCGTGCTCTTCAGTTGCACCAGCAAGAAACCTTGTGAATGGAACTGCAATTGGGGCATGCGAAGGCATGGTGTTCATTTCCAAAGTGAACTTGCTCCGCCAACACAACTAGGATGCTAGAATCACCAACCATTATTCATCCTCAATCTCTGCTGGACCAGACTGGTTGATTCTACCGGACCAATCACAACCACACACACATATGCTACAGTGCTCCTGATTGAAGCTGTGCACGATATTTCAGCTTAAGATGATTGAACACGATCTGTATGGGCTTGGAAAGCAACCCTGCACTTTGGTCGCTTCCCGACTACACCTTTGCATCGCACAGTACACACACCCAACAAACAGATTGTGGTTGCTGTAGTCCCCTTCAAATTGTTCAGACGCCCCCAAACACAGTCAAACTTTCAACACTCAGGGGATGCCCCAAAAAACATGTGAAAGGGTTTCTCCAGTTTCGAGATCCTTGCCATACACAGCTATATATTCATGGTTGGGCTTTGACTTTGGCTCAAAGCCAAGAAAGAAAGGCGTTGAATACTTTGTGAAGGAACCGACCGCAGTGCCATCTCCAAGTGATCAAAGTGAAATCTCGGCACTGGTCTGATCACGCAACCCGCCTGGGATCTCAAGCCATACTTCAGCCGTTCACTCTTCAAAATGGAGGCTTGCCAGGGCCGGACCGTCACAAAGGAACATGACCACATCTTCAGGGATTTTTTCCTGTGACACGGGCGAGTCTGAGGTCTGCACCAACAGCATCGTCTCTATGGATGCCATTGCTGTTGGACGGCCTGGTGGGCAATGGGCCATGGCCATGGCAATACCGTGCCTCTCAGAAGCCTTCTAAGGCTATATGATTGTTGCTAAACCGCCTGGGAAAATACTGATGTAACCGCGTTGAAGGATCCAAGTCCATCAGTAGGTTCAAGGTTGCACGCATTCTCGAAGTCCACTGGCGTTCCTCGCTTGTGCCCCCCTCCCCCCCGAGTGATCGCAGCCAGGGAGTCGCTGATCCAAATCGGTTTGGGCTATTGCGCACTACAGGCCTTACCAAGTCACAACCAACCCAATGCTAGAACAAGTTAAGGGTTTTATTCTTCGGGCTCATCTGTCTTTACGAGTTACTCCTGTCCATCTTTTGCATAAAACAAATTAACAATCTTGTGTTCTCTTTCTATTTCTCTCTTGGTCATCAATTTGCAATCAACACATGTTCGAAACTATTCTGTTGCCTTCGAAAGGTTCTCCCGTCTCTCACCATTTGGGGGTTGCGCTAAAAGTCTTTTCTCGGCCTATTTCGTTTTTAGGCTTCCGCCGCGCTTCCGCGACAAAACGCGTTATCGAAACACGTTGGCCTTGTCACCGATTGACGTTTTCTGAGCCCAAGTGGCTGCAGGTGGCGGTTGTTCAAGTGGAGCGCAAGTGCGCTACGCGAAGTACACTTCCACAGCTCCAGCTGGAAATTGGCAACTTTGTAGTGCGAGCGTAGTGCGCGAAATACACTTCCGCAGCTCCAGCCTAAAAATGTCTTTTGTAGTACAAGTCGCGCAGTACGCGAAGTGCACTTCCGCAGCTCCAGCTCGAAAATCGCAACTTTGTAGCACAAGTGTGCTACGAGGACCTTTAGAACGACTCCCACATACAAAGCTTCCGCTTCCGCGGAGCTTCCGCGCCGACAAAAACCAGAAGCATGAGATCTAAACATGTGCTTCTTCGTAGGGTTTTCTCACTGGCTGAGCGGATGGCCCAAAAAAGTCCAAACTTTATATTTACCACTAAAACGGTCGTGATAGCAGTAGACAGGTGATGGGAGATGTTTTGCCTGCCAATGGCTGTATTTGATGCCATACCCAACCCCAGCTTGAGCAGAACTCTCCCTCCCTCTCGAGTCTTGCATTGTAATCGTCCTTGAGACGAGATGGAGAGGATTCTTTCGTCTGACCAGTCACCTTCCCGCTCGATAGAAGGGACGAAGAGATACGAGATGAACAAAACGTGGCAATGAGATAAAACCTTGAAGTCCAGTCCGTTCTATCTGTCGCCTACCAATCTCTCAGAATTGTCTTGGTCTTCCAAACCGTTGTCTCAAGATGAGATAAAGAGACAGGGATGCTAGTAAGAACCTATCTGATGAAATCTGCGATCAAGAAATAAATGGGCGGCCCCAAGAACTGAGGCAAGAGAATGGGAAGGTGGGGAAGAGACAGGCTATGGGGACAAAATGGGCGCTCTGCCTCTCATTCTTTCTGAGACTCTCCCCACATTTCATCTCATGTGGAAAGGGAAGGCTCAGCGATTCTGACTGGCAAGGGAACAGCCAGCTCGGAGTTTCTCTGTCAACAAGAATTCAATATAGGGCACTGTTCTCAAGCCAAGGGAACAGCATTTTTGCGCATGGGGGACACTGGGTCATGGCCAGCAAGAAATACGACATTCACTGAACCAGCAGGGGCCAACTTGCTGTAACCCTTGAGACGATTCATAGAGTGTGTTGCCCGTTTGAGGAAGTCGATGCTACGATCAAACGTTGCTCCAAAAATTCACATAGATCAACTGAAGCCGCTTTTGCTCACAGTCTGAAGGAGAGCAACCCGCTCTGAACAAAAGCAAACCTGACGATCCACGGATTCTGCTCCTTTGAAGGCCGCGCATCACAACTCGTCAATGTGCCGCAACCGGGCCTTCCTCGTGGATCAGTGAGCGGTCCAACTTGGTTGTGATACCCAAAACTGGGCGCAGCCGAATTTCACGCCGTTCCTTCGTCATACCTCTCTGGAACAGTAATCCTTCTTCATAGCGTGCAAACTATCAACATCCTTCATCTTGCTGGGTTCTCGAATCACCCCTATAAGCCATCCCGAAACGGTTCAGAACACCCGGTCTCCTGCATCCCCATTCGCAGCCATCGCAACTAGACGCATCCACCGCGACCCCGCGGCCCCGTGCCCCAAGGGCGCAACCCGCCTGCGCTGCTTCGCCTCGAAGGCCAAATCCTCGCAGCGCTGCGCATGGCTCCGCGCGCCCGCTGCCAGGTCCTGGGAATGGACTTCATTGCTGGAGCTAGGGAATGACCGAGACCGACTTTGGGAATACCCTTGAAAGAATCGTAGGCGAATCGTAGGGGATGGTTTCCACGGGTCATTCAATCATTCCCTGACGAGAACCAGCAAGTTGTCTGCTATTTCTATGGACTTGCGACCCCTTCGCATGTTGCCCCGGCGTGCTTTGTTCGCGCCAGCACTGAACTTCACCTCTGCTTGCTTGCGTCCTCTGTCCACGTGCGTGCGTGTAAGGGCGCCCGTTCGCCCGCGCGTGCGTACGTGCGTCCGTGCATGCAGAACCCAAGTGTTTGTGGATCTTCACCCTCCACCAGCCAACTTTGTGGTCTTCTTCGTCTGCAAGACATGGGTAGCCTTACTGTTTGGTGGAGACCCAAAGACGCTCTGGTTCTTGCCCTGCCGAGTTTGACCGCGGGCACTCAGCAGGGGTTTGTTTTGTTGGGTTTGCCTTGGCTAGGTTTTCTTTTTGTGCTGCTGTTTGCCTTGTGCTGCTGGCGGCGAAGAACCTTCGCAATGCTTTCGGGAAAAAACACAACAAGAGAAAATAGTGACTTTTTTGTGCATCCATCCCTCCGCCCATCCGTCCATCCGTCTATCCATCTACCTAACTTTGTATTCCTCTATCTCTCCAACTCTTCCTCTCTCTACACTTCTACCTCTCTACTTTGTGTCTCTCTACCTCTCTACCTCTCGACCTGGCGACCTCTCTACCTCTATCTTTGTATCTACCAACCTACCTATCCATCCATGCATCTATCTGTTTATATGTCTGTGTCTGCCTCTCTCTCCCTGTCTGTGTCTCTGTCTCTGTCTCTATCTCTGTCTCTGTCTGACTCTCCCTGTTTGTCTTTACAAAACGCTTAGCATTCATCCACAGCCAACTAACTCAAGCATGAGGCAGTGTGTGTCTGTGTGTGTGTGGTGCGTGTTCAATTCATGTTCAACATGCATATGTGATAAATAAACATCCTGTGGCCCAAGTGCTATCAACTGACAACTGTGTGCAATCAGCCTCAGTTGAGTTCAGTGTTTGAGAGGTGGTCAACACAGCGCCGTCGTTGCTTGCAACCTACTGATGCGGTTGGCCTCCTCACGAGCAGCATGGCAGCGAGGCCTGCTCTATGAGAATCATGAATATGAGATCGACTGTTTCCTATGCTGCAAACAAGGTACATAATAGTATTATACGATAACATCCATCGCCAGCGGTGACCTGGTAGCAATTGCGCAATTGCTGCAGAGATACAAATATTCATCATACGATACATGTCCTACACCTCAATCATACATGCCCTTCCTTGCAGCGTAGCGCATGGATTGCAAGCGAGCATAAATTTGCTGGGCGATTCGGCTACGGCCAACCTTTACCAGCAGGCCTTCAAACTGTATGGCCAGGGCTTTTTGTTTGAAGAATCATGACAACAAACCACCATGGTCCTCGCCAGTAGTGCGGCAGTTGTCCAAGCAAGCGTGCGCCTGAGCGCATAATTAGGGGCAATGCCAAGATGAGTGTAAGGGGCAGTAAGGCGTCCACCACCGTTCACACGGAAATGTCATGAAATAGTGGCGCGGCCCAACGGGTGTGCCTTTTAAAGATTACAGGCCAAGCAAATGGTTTCCAGCATCTACGGATGGGCTCTCATTGTGGACAAGCTCACAGTCACTAGCATGCGGTCATATCAATGCTGGATCCAATATTGATGCTGTCAACAGATCAATCCAGGAACTGCAGGTAATACTCTTGGCCAAACAACCAGCTGCATTGGGAGAAGAAGCTGAAACAAAAAGCAAAAACTTTGAGAGCTTCCGATCCTCTAAGCATTCCAGCTGGAGCAAGACCTTCCCAGACTTAGTTCGTGAAAGAATGGCCACTGCGAGCAATCCTGCCAGATCTCATGTCGTGTGTACATCGTGTGCTTCGGAGGTTTAAAGTTGCGGTTTTGGGCGAACACGAAGTAGCCCAGGGAATCAAAGAGGTACACGTGGTTCACGAAGTACCAAAAGAACCCAGTCCCAAAGCACAATGTAGAGGGTGCCGGTGACCAGATTGTGGGAGTGACAGTTAATGAAGATCAAGTTTGGGGAGGTTAGGAAACTGGTAGAAGAAGGTAAAGACAAGGGTCGGGCCCGGGAGCACCTCGGCGACCTGCCGCCCACCTCCTAGTGCCGAACAGCTGGAACACCACGGACCTTTTCCGCGATGGCGCAGCCAATCGCCGCACTATGGCGAACGCACGCAAATCCAAGGAAGTCCCGACGGGGGATCCAAATCTTGAGCCAAACGGCCATTCGGCCGTTTTGCCACATGATGAAACAACACGTGAACAAAACACACCCCCCTCATCCGATATCTGGACGAGAGAAAGGATGCGAGACAGTTGAGTTCACGACGAAAGGGACCAACCAAAAATGCCGGTGTCAACTCAGAGGTGAGCCAAACGGCATCACCTGGGCCCCAGTTAAAATCCCGCCACCACCCCGAATTATCGGGGCGACAGGATTATTTGACGAGTGGACCACATGAGTGAACAAAGACATATTGGAGGAACCAGACGAAGATTCCTCTCGTGCCGTTCATGAGTTGTCATGGGACGATGCCATGCGGAGGGGGATCCTATCTGGATCACCGCGCCTCACTGCACGCCGTGGAACGGTTGGAAGAGGAGTCGAGTTGGGAGGAAAGTAGAAACGGAAGCTCCGAAATTGGTGTGAAAATATCCGGCTATGGCCGGTCCGGCACTTCTAGTGCGGTCACAGCCTCACACAGGATCGCCAGGGGAACCATCTCCGGCGCGCACGGCAGCGGTGCGGGAGGGACACGAGCAACGCCGGATCAGCGGTACAGGGCAATGGAGATCATCACCCCCAGCAGCGCTGCACGGGCGAGAGGAGGACCGGCGCGGTCGCGTTTGTCGGCGACACACGTACTATCCTCGCCCTTCTAAGGCGGATGCTGATTGCGGCACCCGTCTACCGGCGGATGCTGATTGCGGCACCCGTCTACCACCCTGAACCAGGCTCTTCCCGGTCCCTGGGCGCGTCGTCTCTTCGGCGTCCACCACGGTCACCTCGATCACCTCCTCCATCCCGACGGCGATCCTCACCACCACCCCTATTGTGGTCGCCAGCCGGAGGTCGGCGAGGCGGAGGGGGATCTGATTGGTGACGTCGGTCATCCCTGCGCCGGTCCCGGTGGCGATCGCGACGGTCATCGCCCGGGTCATCACGTCCGCGGCGCTCATCTCGCCCCGGGCCGCGCCTCTCGGAGGTCTCCTCATGACGTGGAGGAGGTCGGCGATCATCGCGTCGGCCTCCGCGGGTGTCCCTGCCACGATCATCCCTTTGTCGGGGCGGGCCGGGATCCTCACGTCCTCCTTTGCCAGGTCGATGTTTTCCTCGACCCTTCCCCTCACCCTTAGGACCACGACGATCCTCGCGGGCCCCAAGCGCGGTCCTTGACCGATCGTCATCTCGTCGGGGCCGCGACTCATCTGCCGCACGAGTGGTCCGAGGCACACCCGGGGGAAGCTCCCACTCGTCGTTGTCGTCATCACGCGGGTCATAGCCGCGATGGCCGCCCAAGGAACCGGTGGCATCCCGTGGTGGGGACGCAGGAGTTCCGGGACCGCCCGATCGAAGACGAACTCGGGGAGTCGCGTCCTCGCCGGTAAAAGGATCCTTCTGGGTGTAGAAACCCTTAGTCCTGCCCCTTCTCTCCCCACCTTCCACACCGCTTCTCGCGGGGACCGGGGATGGGCGGGCAGGCTGGGCCATGCTCTTAGAGCTGGGTTGCCCGCTAGGCGGGACCTGAACGCCCCCCTGCCCTTTTTCGGGCGCGGGGACCCGACCGCGAGATGTCCTTCTGGCCTTGGGTTGGTCGGACTCACCCTCCAGCTCGGACTCGGTGTCAGGGACACGAGTATTGATGGCCATGTCCTCTTCCTCAAACGGATCCCCAGTCGTAGTAACGCCTGCCGCAATGGGAGCGGGAGGAGGAGGAGGAGGAGTTGGCACAGCATTGCCAGAGATGACGCCTGCATGCGGCACCACGGGAGTCTCCGGTTCTACCGGGACAGGCGGCGCAGGAGGAGCCGGGGGCGGTGGCGGAGGGGGAGGGATCTCCTCCTCGTCGTCGCCCATGGGCTCGTCAAGGTCGTCAGGCTTCTCGTCATCTTCGCGCGAAGAACCATCCGATCCCAGCTCATCCTCCGCTGATCCAGCAAAGTCGGGCTCGTCTTCGTCCTTCACGCCGGGGCCTGGTGTAAGGCGAATTCCGGGTCGATGGCGATCGCGGGGTCGGAAGCGGTATTTCCTTGGTACGGGGTCGGATAGCTCCTGTTTGATGTCATCCTGGGTTTGAGGACGGTCGGCCAAGCAGGTGTCGTAGGCAACGGTGGACGTCCGGTAGATCAGATCGTCCATACTGCTGAGGTCGTTGAGGGTGTAGACATACCCCTTCTTAATGCCTTCCCGTATCGTGTCCATAGCCCGTTTGAGGCGCGCGGCAGGATCGAAACCGGCCCTTCTCCGCATGGCCTGCAATATCCCGCAGTGCTGTGCGAGCAGCTTCACCTGGAACTTGAATCCCTCCCCGGACACATCGTTGGGGAGTATCGGAGAAAGGTGTCCTGTTCTCAGCCCAATGATATGGGCCTCAAGAATGTAGTAGGACGTGTAGAAACCGCACCGGTTGGCGTTGAAGTTTGCGGTGGTTAGGCGTCTGCCCCACTCAGCCGCATATCCCTCATATTCTTCGAAGAATTCGGGGACGGAGCTCCCGTTGAAGGCCAGACCCCTCACCAGGATCGCCTTTGCTACCCACTCTTCCACGTTGCTGTCGACCGTGTCACGGTACTTGCCGTCAAGGATTTCGTCTCGGAGCGAGTCGTGAAGTTTCCGGAAAATGCCATCCACGTCCTCTTTGTCAAGGTACTTAGGAGGCCGCATCCCAGACATCAACAAGGACCGGGCATCGACGGCGGGACTCTGCGAGTAGAGGGCCATTCCGATGGCGTTGGCGTCTGAGTTGTTCCACAGAGCGGGGACGAAGCCCTCGTATTTTGCCAGCCAGGGAGGAACCAACCCGTCAGTGCTCGCTATCGTGCGAGGGCCGCCGTTCGTGTCTCCGGTGGGCAGGACGCCATCGTAGAAGATGGGAAGGTAGCAGGCGGTGCACAGGTGAGCGCCGACCGGATGGGCCGTCATGCACCTATGGCATGGAACGGACACCACCTCGCGGACATGTTCCGTCTTGGTGATCTGATGGTACTTCTCCATCTCGTCCCGACACTTCCTCGGGTTATCACTCAAGGAGTTGAGGAAGTTGGGCGGATAGCACCAAGGCCTCAGGTAAATGATGGAGCAGTCCTCCTTGAAGTAGACGCATCTCCAGTACCCGATCGCGATGTTCTCGCGCGACGCAAAGGTACCCTGACGAGTAATATGCATGCCCCCATTTTCCATGGAGAAGAAACGTGCATCGATAGCCATGACCACATATCGGGGATCGCTCCTTTGGCGTCGACCCGAGGTGTGCAGCTCCGTCACGTTGCTGTCGGTGATGCGGTCGACAGTGTCGTTGGGGCACTCTCCGTGATCGCGGAGGGATTGATACTCATCCGGCCGAGAGGGAAGGAGCTCGATCAGAGCTCGCCCACCCCGAATGATCGCCCCACGTTCTACGTAGAGCCGATACGTTCGGAGAGGCACCACCTTGTAGAGCGTCTTAGGAACCACCTTGGAGGTGATAGGAAGACAAACAGGGCTCTCGTAGAGCATGTATTGGTATCGTTCACGAAATGCCCGGTAATCAGTGTCGGATCCGATTTCAAGCGACCTTACCGCCGCTATGCGGGCGGAACCAGGCAGCAACCGACGCTCCTTGTCACGAATGACGGTGATGATGATCTCGAACATTCCCACCCCATCCTCGAGAAAGGAAGACAGGAGGTATGAAGAAAAGGCATCCTCGGACTCGACGCTGGTCCCGAAGTAGTGGCTCAGGAACCTCTTCAGTTGTATCACCGAAGTAACGTTCCCTTGCCCGCTGGCAGACGAGGCCTCCAACTCTGGGTCCTTGACTGCACCTGCATTTCCAGGCTGCACAGCTGTACCACGGAGCGCGTCGCGTATTTCCGCGCATGCTCTCCTGTAGTAGTGCGAAGAGGCGCCCGTTCTACCCTCCACCTTCTGACGGATCTCGTCGGCGAAGTAGTCCAGAAGCTCCTCGGGTGCGGGAACAATGGCCTGGATCATCAGGTCAGGATCACTCTTGGTCGGGAGGATAGGCCCTGCCCTGGATCTCACTCCCATCTCCAGGAATCGGGCAATGTCCCCGATTTTGGCGCACAGAGTAGCGATCGTGTTTCCGATCCTGGGGGCGATGTCTTCGCCTCTCCTGGCGCCGAGGATGACCACGTTTTTCTTGATGGACTCCTCCTTCAGCCTCTCGAGGTTCCTCCGGGTGCCATCAGTGC